CCGCGCCGTTCCCCTGCAGCGTGATCCGGCTGATCATGCAGTACCTGAAGGAGAACAGTCTCCACCGAGCCCTCGCCACTCTTCAGGAGGAAACGACCGTGTCCCTCAACACGGTGGACAGCATTGAGAGCTTTGTGGCAGACATCAACAGCGGGCATTGGGACACCGTGCTGCAAGCCATACAGTCGCTGAAGCTGCCCGACAAGACCCTCATTGATCTCTACGAGCAGGTTAGTGAGTGCCGGCAGTGTGGGGGGTTTTCTCGTCTGGGTGGAAGCCCCTCTCTGGAGTTTTCCGCTTACCCTTTGCTGATGCTGAAGTTTGTCTCTTGATGCAGGTTGTGCTGGAGTTGATTGAGCTTCGGGAGCTAGGTGCTGCCAGGTCTCTCCTGAGACAAACAGATCCTATGATCATGCTCAAACAAACTCAGCCAGAGCGGTACATCCACCTTGAAAACCTTCTGGCCAGGTCCTACTTTGACCCTCGTGAGGTAAGTTATGCTCTTTCTAGAGGCCTCATGATGCTGTCTTGCGTGACCCTCAGCATGGGCCCGAGTTGCTAATGGCATCTTTTCTTTTCTGTTCTGGGAGTGAGAGCATGCAGCTTCCCAGTTTGATGATTTTACACGTTCTGTGAAGCGTTTGGGCAATGATGTAGGACACTTGATCATGAGGCAGCAGAGCAGTGGTTTTGGGGGGAGTTTTATACCTGTATTCTGCCACAGGATGACATCTGTGTCTTACTTTTCCTGTCTTATCTAGACAGAAAAAAATGTACATTTTTGTAAACAAAATTGTTGTTGTCTAATAAGAAGGTATTATTTCTGACTGATTATGTCAGTCTGACGTTTTTAGTGAAAGCATATCCCAGATATTTTGAGGGTTGGTGTTAAAGAGAGAGGCTGTTTTGAAGGCCTAATAGAAAATTAATCAGGAAGGGGCTTCAGTTCAAAGCAGTGAATGTTTTTATGGAAAGTAGTTTACAAGAATCTCTTCTTAAAAATGACTTATCTCTAGGCATATCCAGATGGAAGTAGCAAAGAGAAGCGGAGAGCTGCTATTGCACAAGCTTTAGCTGGAGAAGTCAGCGTGGTACCTCCGTCTCGTCTTATGGCGCTGTTGGGGCAGGTAATTCTTGAAAAATTTTTTCGTAGCTGTGTCAGTTTCTGTAGATATTTGCTGTGTAAAACTAACTATGATGTAGTTGATTGTCCAGCTCTGTAAAAGTAAAGCTTAAATATCGCACATTTACGTCTGTTATAGTTAAGAATGGTGTTTTCTCCATGAGGCAAGGATTTATCGGTTGTAGGAGAAGTCAGCACTCCAGTGTTAGATTTCTACCCACAGAATAAATACTCAGCGCACAGAGAAGATTATTTTCAGAGTACATACTAACACACACTGTTTCCATTGTTCTACTTAAAACACTTTTTTGATTCTCAGAACGTATTCATTGATACTCTATGTGCACAGTATTTCACATACTTTGCTGGTTTGTGACTTAGATCTTACTTTTTAAGTTTGTTATGCTGCGTACTCTGTATAAAAGGTGTGTCCTGTGACTGAAGGCAGTCTCTGCTAAAGGGGTTCTATAAGATTCAGTCTTTTGGATGAAGTTCACTTGTGCCTTCTGAGAAGGCTTATGTATAATTTTTAATGTTAATGTATGCAGTTCTAGACAAATAGACAACAGGTTGTGTAATGTAAAGTAACACAAGGTTGAACTCATGCTGTGTACGTACTGTATGTGCTGCGTACTGAAGGTAGAATGAGAAGGGTGGGCCTGAGTTGTTCTCACTTGCACAATTCATTTGGGGATAATATTCTGTCCTGTGGTCATGAGTTAAGAGTGTAATCTGGTAAGTCTTGTTTCAAGTGATAGTTTGGAGTGTCTTTGTCTCAAACTATACAGATGCACAATTTGTAAGGGTACAAGAAACTATTGCTGTATTGTGTTAAGTAGAAGCAAGTTTTGATGAGGAAGATGTATGTTAAGTGGTATCTAACTGTATGGCTTTCAACTCCTCAAAAGGCACTGAAATGGCAGCAGCATCAAGGCCTGCTTCCTCCTGGTATGACAATTGACTTGTTCAGAGGCAAAGCAGCTGTGAAAGATGTAGAAGAAGAAAAGTTCCCCACACAGCTGAGCAGACATATTAAGGTGATGTTGTATTTGCTTTTGTGTGTTTTACTGCTGCTTGTTCCTTCCTGTGTTTTATGTTGGGAGATAAGACTAAACCTTCTGTTTAGTCTAATTCTTTGGTTTTCTTTTTTGTAAGCCATTTCCCTCTCTTTCTCTCTGTTTGTGGTGTTTTGGTTTGGGTTTTTTTTGTTTGTTTGTTTGTTTTAATTGCTTCTCCGTGTTTTACCTTGTCGGTAAACTTTTCATGAGAGTCTGAAATGAGGTCTCTAAACAAGATTGGGTGATCATGGTGTTTGTGAATATGATAAATGTATTATTTGTTTCTTTGACTTCACAGTTTTCAGAAGTAACTTGCTTAATCCCCTTTTTTACTAGTGCAAGGAATACTCATGTCTTAAACTTCTATGCCTGAGTATTAGCTTCTGTGAACTACTTAAGTTTTGTTAATAAGCTACTACATACCAGGTCTACTAATACTATCAGTATCCCCTTTTTAAGGATTTTATCACATAGATTTCGAAAGAGAAAGAAAACTGCTGTAATGACATAATTGTCCTGCAGTGCTCACAGTGTGGAATAGGCTTCACCAAGCGATTCTGTTCAGTGACAAGTGTTAGTTCACTATGCTGGCTCTACTAGTTCTCACAGTGAAGGGAAGATAATGTTTTTCAGAAGTCTTGAGTTGGACTTGTGAAATAAATTTGTTGTGTTCAGAAGCAGCTTGGTGAAAATGCTTTATTAGAACTTGTTTTGTTTGCCAGTACTGATCTTGGATTTTTTTTATTGATGAATGAAAACTTTTCTATACTTAGTTGTCATGGTCACTTATCTTTAAAAATTTAGAAATTTTAAAAATTGTATGTAAAAAATACCAAACATTCTCTGTGAAAACTTCACTGGAGAAACATCACTCCTAATGAAGCAGCTTGTACTACTTCAGAAATTTTCTAAATTCTGCTAGGGGTGTATGTTGTGTACCAGGAAGGTGTTTGTTAACATACATAGTTCACTGCAAAACCAAAAATACTGAGGCAACCAGCCCAGCTGCTGCTGTAAGCATGCAGTGTTTGATGTAAGTTTCATAGATACTACCAGATCAAAAGGAGGAGGGTTTTTCTTGTTTGTTTTGAAGTGTTAGTATGTAGATATTGACAGGTTTTTAGTACCTTGACATTAAATTTGTGAATGCATACCTCTAGAAAATACTGGATTTTTGTCAGCTAAATGAGACAACAGTTTTATTTTGCTGAGTTGCTGCTTTTAAATTGCTTATTAGGCTTTATATGTATTCTCTTATAAAACAGTTTGGGCAGAAGTCGCACGTTGAGTGTGCTCGATTTTCCCCAGATGGACAGTATCTGGTTACTGGTTCTGTTGATGGTTTCATTGAAGTATGGAACTTCACTACTGGAAAGATTAGGAAGGTAAGCTGCACCTTATTTCGCACGGGTAGTTCATCGTCCAGGTTTTATTCATTGAGATTATGTTTGTTTTCATTTCTCAGGGACTGTGAATCTGAAATAGATGGCTGCTTGGGTGATTCAAATATTGGTCTGGAATCTTACATGAGTTTAATTGTCTGGTTTGTCGTAGAATTCCTTCTCTGCGATAACATTTATTTTTTTCCTTTCTGGATCATCGTTGTTGCTTCTAAAATGGCGGCAGTAGCACTTCCTTGTTCTTGTAAGGCTGTGAGGTGTGCTTGATGATATAAAATATAACTGAAGTTAGAACTGCTAGCACTTCTGCACTTTCCCTTAAAATATATTCCGTTGAATGCAGTATTTTAACTGATGGATCTTCTGCTTTCATTTAGGATCTGAAATACCAGGCACAAGATAATTTTATGATGATGGATGATGCAGTCCTGTGCATGTGCTTCAGTAGAGATACAGAAATGCTAGCAACCGGAGCGCAAGATGGAAAGATCAAGGTACAAATCTTTTCGTATGATGTGTTGGTAGACCTGGTGACGGGAAAGATTCACTTGCATTTGCAGTAATGTTGCAACTCTGTATAAAACCAAATGCTGTTTCGCATGGCTCAGAAATGGATACATATTGGCTCTGATGTTTCTGTGATCTCATAACAAAGTAACCAACTCTGTTTCATTTGCCGTTTCCTCTCCAGGTGTGGAAAATCCAGAGTGGTCAGTGTCTGAGAAGATTTGAACGAGCACACAGTAAAGGTGTTACATGCCTCAGTTTCTCTAAGGACAGCAGCCAAATTCTTAGTGCTTCTTTTGATCAGACAATCAGGTAAATAAACTGAGAATGCATGAGCTACAGTGCAGGAGAAAAGAAAACAGAATTTTCACATTGAACAGTTAAACTTTTGAATATAGTCATTTGACATGGGATTTGATTCTTTTACGTTGAGTTTTAGTACTAATATGAGAGCATGACTCCATAGGGATTTTACCTTTCGCCTTGCTTAACTTGCATTATTCCAGGGCTAGAGACGAGTGCTTCTGCTCTATTGTCATTTACATTCACTGTGCACCTTTTCTTTCTGGGAGACAGAAAGAAACAACTGTTTCTTAAGAAACAGTTGTGTCAACCTTCAAAAATATTTTAAAATAAGCTTGAGGTAAAAAAGATCTCAGGATAACAGGGTACTGACATTTTTTGAAACAGCCTAAACAGCCTAATTGTACTCACTGGCTTTAATAGATCACTCTTCTTAAGTGCACAGTTCCTCCAAGAGACAACCTCCAGGAAGTGAAATTCTGTTTGTACGTAAGGAAAAACTTCCTTTTTTTTCCCCTTGAGAAAGAAGCAGTGCTTTGGCAGCGCTGAGATAGTTGAGTCAGGCTGGAGTGGATCTCAACCCTCGAAGACTTTCAAAGCTAAATTGAACAAGACCATGAGTGACTCGGAAGTTGACATTGCTTTGAGGAGAGCGGTAGAATAGAGGTCTTCTGAGGACTCTTCCAGATGAAGTTATTCTGTGATTTTTTCTGACATGTGCCACTCTTTTCGAATCTCTGTTAGAGAAAAATCACGCAGCCAGATGGTTTATATGTTTGTGCTGGCAAGAGGAAAAAAACCTTTCAGTGATGAAAAAGAGCCATAGAGACAGGATCATTTTTCTCTTCACTCCCAAAAGATAATTCCCATTCCAGGCTGTCTCTGCAGTTCTACTTTTGGGCATGGGAATCCTTTCTGTTTGTCATGCAAATCATCGCTTGCTGTGTGGCACCAGCACTATGTTGGGATATAAGCTGTGGGTTTTTTTAACCAATCTGTATAGTTTGATTTTTGCATTGTTTGTGGCATTCCTTTTGGGCAGTGAAACTGTTCGTGGTGTTGAAGACCCACAAGCTGAGATCTTGGGAACCCAGGAACAGGAGTCAAGTTTTTCTACAAACTCTGGAGTTGCTTCGGTGCACAGTCCAGTTAGTGTAGTTTAGCAAGTTGATAGCGTGTCACCTCATATCCGACTGCTGTAACTGAGATCTGTCTGCAGAAAACCCAAGGAACTACATCCCTCTTAATGTGGTTGGGCTAAACTGAACAAACTTGGTATCACCTGACACTTCCGCAGACATACATACGTACGGTTACTGCAGCTTACCTGGTGTGCAGATGACCTATTAAGCAGCAGCATGATAAAGGAGTGGGTTGTTGTGGGACAGGTATGAAGGTGGTTGGGCTTGCATCCATGCTCTAAGAAAGCTCAAGCGTCTGTGCAACCTGTGTAAGGCAGACAAGGCATATGTTATAAAATAGTTTAACTTAGAAGGTACCTCTAGAGGTCTCTAGTCCAATGCTCTTCTCAAAGCATAACCAACCTCTCAGTTAGGGCAACTTGCTCAGGGCCTTGTCCAGCTGAGTTCTCCACGGCATTTCTTGGTATCTGTCCTTGGGCTGTACAACCCTCTAGGAGAAAATCCTGTTTGGATGTAAAGAAGGATGTTTTGGTTTGGGTTTTGGTTTGTAACTTGTGCCCTTTGCCTCTTGTACTTTAGCTGTGCACCTGAGAGAAGAATCTGACTCCATTTATTCTGTAAAAACTTGTTAGGTAGTGAAGTTAACCAAATAGTTAAAATTTTGCAGGTGTTTAGTAACTTATTTTTTTCTCCTTTTTCTCCTTTTTCTCCTTTTTCTCCTTTTTCTCCTTTTTCTCCTTTTTCTCCTTTTTCTCCTTTTTCTCCTTTTTCTCCTTTTTCTCCTTTTTCTCCTTTTTCTCCTTTTTCTCCTTTTTCTCCTTTTTCTCCGGCCGTCTTAGTGACCCCTTAGTTGGGGCCCAAAACAGGACACAGTCCTCCAGAGGTGGCTACGCCTCTGCCAAGTAGGGGGGAACCTTGATCTGCAGACCATGCCTCTCCTATTGGATCTGGTGTGTGCTGTGCCTCAATGCTACAGCACACTGCTGGCTTCCACTTTGTTCTCCCCAGGTCCTTTGCTGCAGACCCTCCTCTGTTCTCAGCATCAGGAGGTTTCTCTCACTCTATCTGTCTGGTTTGTCAAGGTTTCCAACTTCCTCATCTGTCTTTTTCAAAATTGAGTTGCACAGTGTGGGTCTTACATCGTTAATCAAATCAATCCAGTGCTTAATGGCTGTGTACGTTTTACGTTGAGTTGAATGGGATTATGTAATAGCTTTAAGCTCTTGGCTGTGCTGTAAAACTTAGTGGTACCAATGGTACTGCTTTAGATGAAAACAAAGAAATGTGTGGATCTGGAGGCACAGTAAACAGGCATTACAAAACATCTTAATAAGAGATGTCAATCAATCTGTTTAAATCTTGATATATATGAACTGTAGCATAAGCATTTTAATTGACATTATGTAAGGTTGGATGCTAAAAGAAGGACAGCCAGCTTCAAATGGAGTAAGGAATTTCATTCTCAAGGCTTCAGACTTGTGTTTGAAAACTGTATTTCTGTAGCCAGTAGGTACTACAATTTAAGGCTGATACAGATTAACAATATAACTCCCTTTTAGATGACTGAGCAAACTCTTCACAGAGTTGCACAGTAAGAGGTAGCGGTAACAGCTAGCAAAAGAGAAATTCTGACTGGGTATAAGGAAAGAATTTTTCTTAGCTCAACTGGACAAGGCCTTGATCAAAGCCCTGAGCAAGCTGACCTTACTTAAAGCTGAGGAGTCTGTTGGACTGGAGACTTCCACACTTAATTCTGTAATTTTGCGTCAGCTTTGTAGTTTCCTCTTACATCGTCTTGTCTTCTAATACGTGCAGTGTATATTACATACAGGTCCTTGAGGCTGAAGACTAATGGTATTTCCCTAAGCTTTGCACAGGAGCACATAATGCCTTTGATGAAAGAGGCTTGTGATAAGACTTACTGGCTTAAAATAGCACTTTTTATTGTTGCCCATCAAAAGTATGGTGAAGCCAGAGAGTGGTTCAGACTACCTCAGTTGCTCACTCAGTTATGATCTCTGTTGACAGAATTCATGGATTAAAATCTGGGAAAACCTTAAAGGAATTCCGTGGTCATTCTTCCTTCGTCAATGAAGCAACTTTTACCCAGGACGGCCACTATATTATCAGTGCATCCTCTGATGGCACAGTGAAGGTAAGATAGCATTTACGCTTTGTGACTAGCACATTCAGACCTCTTTGCATGTTGTAGCTGATTTAACTGCTACAGTCATTGGAGAAGGACTGGGGGTTGTTGGCAAAAATAAAACTTCCTGCTTGTGACCTTTGCTGTAGGCTAGTGTGAATGAGAACTAATGAAGTTTCGTACTGTGCTTACAGACTGCCGCAGAGCCTGTTTCTGCTGTATTTATGAAAGGAGGACAGAAGTGCAGTACTTACCTGCCTGTTCCTGCTTTATTCTAGAAATAGGTTGACTGTGACACCTCTTATGTGGATGGGGATTCCCTGGTCTGAAATAATGGCATTTTCTTGCTTACTGTGTTGGACACCTGTTAATTCCTTGGTGCTTAGGAGTCCGTTGCTGTGTAAGCTAAGTAATCTAGCATTAATGAAACTGGTTGTAGAAGTGATAGGTTTGGCTTCTAGTCTTGGCAAAGACTAGAACTATTCACTGTGTAGTAGTTAAGAGGAGTAAAGCATTGTCATGTACAGGGCATTACTGACTAATAACAAATAAATGAATAAATGAAAGAGCTACCTTAAGTAGGATGTTGATGCAGTGCATGGGGACTGGGTAAACAGATCCAGTTTGTAGATGTGGCCTAGGAGATTTTGCTCATATTAAATGCAGCGTTACTTCAAACTTGCACTCTTTGCTAGGCTGCCCCAGTCAGGGGAATAGCATAAGAAGGTGGCATCTTTCATTTTGATTGTACTAGTATGAAAACAACAAAAATATTCCAAGATGGTCAGTTACATTTTATTATAAATATTACACAAGCATTTTCATTTCCTCTTGCTAAACAGCTAGAACAGCCTGGTGTTGAGCCTGAAGCAGCTCTAAGCTGGGATGATATCAATGAGGCTTTACTTTCTCGGCAATTTTTGTGTCTGTCTTGTGTAAGGCAAATTGCGTGTGCAGAGGCTGCACTGCACATGTATTCACAGATACCAGCTGAAACCAGAAAGCAAGTCTGGAATGACTCCTCAGGGAATATGCTTAATGAAAGGGAGCCAGCCTGAATTTGGATAATGGAAATTCACCCTCAGTTCTGTTGTAGTGAAATTGTTCACGGTGTCCACACTTCAAAATGGATGTGATTGATTTTTTTTTTTAAAGTCTGCTTCAAACTACAATTTTTGAAATCCATATTTCCCTTCAGGAGCCTTAAAAAAACCTGAGTCTTGTATCCTGAATCAGCTTTTTTTTGTTTAATTTCGTAAAGCTAATTGGTTTTACATTTATTTTTCATACTAGGTTTGGAACGTGAAGACGACAGAGTGCTCAAACACCTTCAAATCTCTTGGCAGCACTGCTGGGACCGACATTACTGTGAACAGTGTCATTCTGCTGCCTAAAAACCCAGAACACTTCGTTGTTTGCAACAGATCGAACACAGTCGTCATTATGAATATGCAAGGACAAGTATGTGATCTTACTGTTGTCCTTTCAAGTCTCTGTCTCTCGGTCACTTTAAGAATGCCAAAAGCATCGTTCATAACCTAGCCTTGGGTTAAACCTGGTTTCTCCAGTCTGCTTTCATGACAAACTGTTCTGTACCCAGGTTGTAGAACAACCTGACTTGCAGAAAGCAGCTGCAGCTATGGAGGGATCCCATGTTCTAAACAGACCTAGTACTGCCCTAATTTTTTTGCCCTGAACATAGTAATTATGGTGCTGTAGTTTAATCCTGAAAAATATTTTTTTGGGGTTGTGTCTTTACAGATTGTAAGAAGCTTCAGCTCTGGTAAAAGAGAAGGTGGTGACTTTGTCTGCTGTGCGCTTTCACCTCGTGGCGAATGGATCTACTGTGTTGGTGAAGATTTTGTGCTCTACTGCTTTAGCACAGTGACTGGCAAGCTGGAGAGAACTTTGACAGTAAGTTCTTAGATTTGAGCTTTTGCAGAATTCTAAACACAAGGATGGTCTAATTGTTCATTATTTATGAAGTCCAAAAGGAGAAGTCTGTAAGGAGAAGTCTTAAACCCAGGAATCTCTCACCTCTAGCAGCCATGATTGGTTCTGGAACACATTCCAGAACACTAGGCTGTAGAATGTCTTTAGGTTTTTTTAGAACCATTTTAGTTTTACCCGCCAAGCCAAGAGTGAATTGGTTCAAACTTTTTTTGAACTAGAGTGTATCTTGATGTGGGCACTGTCTGATGGAGAATCTGACCAAGCTGTCAGATTTGAAGCTGTCGGGAATGAATTTGCCTTGGATTAAATTAAAGAGCAATACGAGCTTGAACGTCTAGATTTAGTAGGGAACACTTAAATGTTGTGGATTTCAGTGGAAGTAAACCTTCGCTGAACTGTCCCTTGCCCAACAAAAAGTCCCTGCTATGTCACAAAAATTGTTGTTTGGAACTTAACACTAGGGGGTATGTTCTTCTGTTTTTGTTGTGTGCACAAAGCATGTTAAACCTCAGTCCAGCTTTCCTCTAGTTCTTTTTCAAAGAGAATATTCGGCTTGAATCTGCTAAAGGAAGAATCTCCTGATGCATCTTTCTGCTTATTCTCTAGGTGCATGAAAAAGATGTCATTGGCATTGCTCATCACCCCCACCAGAACCTGATTGCCACTTACAGTGAAGACGGCCTCCTCAAGCTCTGGAAGCCATAGCTTGGTTTTAGAATAAGCTGTGAAGTGTGCCTGTTAGCTGCAGGTTATCCATGTTTGTACTTTGGCGAGGTCTAAAGGCACGGAGTGCGGTATTTGCTCAGTTTTCAGTTCAGTTTTCCAGAGAATGACATTTTTACTTCTTGGTCTAAAGTTAGGTAGATTGATGCTTAAATATAGCATCAGTTAATTTCAAATACTTTTAATTTGAAATACTTTAAATTTCAAATATTTTTACCACAGTAGCTGAAGCAACTTCAGTGAGAGTGTTTTTTCTGTCTCCTGAAGTCTGTACTGTACTCTTCCTACAGTATTTATAAAAGTTGAACGACCTGCGAACTATACAGACTTACAAGTGGTTGCTGACTTCCTAGAATACAGTAAAATGCTTTTTCTATTTGCGTGAATTATGTGGAATGGGAAAGCTGTCTCTTCACTGCTGAAGCAAAGGCACAGTTTTCCTGGAACGCAGATGAGGCTGCTCTGTTTTCAGTTTGAAGGCAGAGGCTTTTCTAGTCCAATGGGGTTTGCTGTGTTCAGTTTTCACTACAATTTTTCCAATTATACCTATGAAGTAGTGTCACACAGCTTCCTCGGAACGAAACTATTCTCCATCTCCTAGCACTTCCTGCTATAAACCTGCCTAATGTGGCAGTGAGATATAGTTGGGTTTGGTTTTTTTGTTTGTTTGTTTGTGGTTTTTCAAGGTGCGGTGTTTTTTTTCTTCTGTTCTTTTGTTCTACTTCACTTCCAGGCTAAAAGGAATTATTACCTGGGCCCTCTTCGTGTAAGTGCATAATGTCTTCAGACCAGCTTTGACTGAAGCAGGCCTCAGGGGATCAATATTTTAAAACATGTGAAAGCTGGTTTATGTAGGCCAAGCAGGCACACGCTGCAGTAGTTTTGTTTTTTTTTCCAGTGTACTCAGTTTAGCTTCCTATTTTCCCAAAAGAGCATGGCATACTTAAGCTTTAAATAATTATTTGTAAGATTTTTTTTTAATATCATATACCTAGTTAAGGTGATTCTTAGATCCCATGCTATGATAAAAAGAAGCTTTCAGGCTCTTCAGTTTGGAGCAGATGGTGATTCCGTTTGAGGTCTTGACTAATGCACACTTACGTACGTACACCAGAAGTTTCTAAAGTCTGACCATAATTTTTCTAGGATGCAGCAAAAAATGAGGTTTTGTCTGTAATGATGAGACAAATGTATGTAGATTTCACTCTGCTGCACTGTTTCCTGTCCTCACTCTTGTAGAATGCTTTCCTGCCACAGTAATCTTTCAAACTGTAATAGATTCTCTTTGACTTACTGGATTAGTTCCAATTTAAATAATGTCACAGTTTTTTTTCAGCTGCAGGGCTTGATCCTAATGCGAGTATTGGTTGTCAGCACTGACTGGCGCCCTTGGTTGGTGTATGTTCATACTGGTCTAAGGAAATGGAGAAAAATTTCAGCTTAACTTTGCTTGTTCACTACAACTGTAGCGTTTTATTCTATGTTTAGCTGTAATATTTTGATTCCTAAGTTGTTTTTTACTTGCTTAGGTATGGCAATAAAGTTATTTTTTAGACAACAAAAAAGCGATTTTTTTTTTTTTCCCCCCCTCTGCCTGAAAAGGCACTAGTCTGTCGGAAACATCTGACAGTAATACGTCTGATAAGATCCTCTAGCAATTACTACTTTTGATACAGGAGAAGATCTTGACAAAACATTTTTAATATTAACTTGTGGTTCATGTTGCCTTCAGATTACACAGAACTGCTAATCCTCAATGTAAACTACATCTTACATTGTTCTTTAAAAGAAAAGTAGTTGTAGCAAAGAAAATGGTCAGCATCTTGAATGTTTAAAGCTTAAACATTTTCTAGCTTAAAATGTGAGGAAAATGTGGCATTTCTTATGCTTTTTATTTAACTCTTTATTTAAAGAGTTTCAGAGTTTATTGCATCAGATACCGAAGACAAAAAAGCAAATTCTACTAACACTTATGAAAGGGCAATGGTAAAAGTTACCTCCTGGGCTGCACCTGTAATTTATAAAATAGCTGGCAGTTGTCACAAAAGTACAATGATAATCTTGAAAATATTAATTTTTTAAATGTGAAATGTAATTTTTTTTCTTTACATAAATGTTGATCTTTTTAATGTAATCTAGGAAGACATTTTCTCTCTGGAGAATCAGCCAAGTGTTATGCCACTTACCTGTGGCAACGTCTATTGCTTTAACTAATATTAAAGAAAGCATTGTTCACCCCTGGGCCTTGCTTTGTTCTTGAATTATTTTGCTTGGAGCTGGCGAGTTCCGTCATGCGTTTGTGAGGGGAGTGGCGCGTAGCAAAAGTCTCATAGGTCAGTTCCTCCTCCTGTTTCTGAGCTGGATATGAATGAATTTCAGCCTTGCTCGGATGGAATCAGCTGCCTGTCTGCGTGTGCTTGCAGAACGTATGTAGAAGAGCTACTGCCATCTCAGCTTGTATTTCAAGCCAGCTTAGGTTCCCGCACAGTTATGCAAGCAGTGGACATAACATTTTATTTTAAAATGTTATTGGGGTAATGCTTTGTCCAAGCAACATGTGAGCCTGTAGATACGGGGTGTAGTCCTGCTCGGATACCACTACCAGCTTGCCATCTGCAAAGGAAAATCAAACCCTCCCCTGAGTCTTAGCAAGATTTAGAGAGACCAGCTGAAAACCAAAGACTTGATCTCAGACGGAAAAGATCATAGAATCATAGAATGGTTAGGGCTGGAAGGGACCTTCAAAGGGCATCTAGTCCAACCCCCCTGCAACAAACAGGGATATCTCCAACTAGATCAGGTTGCTCAGGGCCTCATCCAACCGGGCCTTGAACGTCTCCAGGGATGGAGCATCCACCACCTCTCTGGGCAACCTGTTCCAGTGTTCTACAACTCTCGTGGTAAAAAATTTTTTTCCTAATATCCAACCTGAATCTACCTCCCTCTATTTTAAAACCATTACCCCTTGTCCTATCACAACTGGCCCTCCTGAACAGCCTCTCCCCATCTTTCTTGTAGGCCCCCTTGAGGTACTGGAAGACCGCTATAAGGTCACCCCGGAGCCTCCTCTTCTCCAGGCTGAACAGCCCCAACTCTTTCAGCCTGTCCTCGTAGGAAAGGTGCTCCAGCCCTCTTATCATCTTCGTGGCCCTCCGAAGGGAGGTCCTTTATGAATGTCTACCAAAGCAGCCAAATTCTCATGAACTCTGACTAGACAGTCTGCATGGGTGCCTGCCAGCCCACATGAATCCGATTCTGCATGTTGCTGTGGATTTTGGAGCATGATCTTAGGCGAGAGGACCTGCCTCTGATCCAGGGCAGCTTGATAACACCAGTGTTCAGTCTGAGAGGAGAAGAAGAGAAAGAAAGTTGCAGAGATTTATATTCGACCCTCAGTCCAAAAACCACGACAGAAAGATGATGCTAAAAGTAGTTATTTTCTTCTCTTTCTGCCTAGTGTCTGCATGGGTTTCAGGAGACCTTCAGCATGGTTAACTCCATCTCCCGTTCCTGTTGATGTGGTCTCCAGTGTGTGTTCTCTGGATAGCTATAAATAAAGGATGACCTTCTTCTGGATCATGATGGCTTGCAAGAGACAGGCTGAACAAACTTGGTTCTGAATGTCAGGGGGAAAAGCATAGGCTTTAGGTGAATCCGAAGGAGAAAGGTGGCTAAATGCTTTATTTCAGAGGTAAAGGAGGAATCATATGTGGGAATTATTTGGCTTACCATGGAGCAAGATACAAGGAGATGGATGCTGTTGAACTGAAAGGAGTATAACAGTTTTACCTGTAACAGGTGCTGCTTGCATTGTGAAACGGGGGTAATGAAGCCTTGTTCAGGTTCTTTGTGTCCCTTTGCCTATAAAGCTGCTCCCTGTGTAGTAACAAATTCTTCTGATACTGCCTCTGCTTTCTTGGGCCAGAAATGGCATTTGCTTGTCTAGGAGCAGGCACGCGCTGCTGCCGGCTAGTTAAGCCTTTCCTGTCTTCCCAGATCAGAAACTTTGGAAGCCAAATGAACAAATAAGTGTTCTTTTAAGTTTTATTCATGGAACGATGGGATGCCTGAGGTTGGAAGCATTGGAGGCTCCACCACCTCCTTGAGCAACCTGTGCTAGTGCTCAGTCACCTCACAGTAAAAGGTGTTCTCTGATGTTCGTAGGGAACTGCCTGTTTCAGTCTGTGCCTGTTGCCTCTTGTCCTGTCACTGGGCACTACTAGAAGGAGCCCGGCTCTTTTGCACCCTTCCTTCGGGTATATTTATACATTGATGAGATACGAGATACCCCCCTGAGCATTCTGTTCTCCAGGCTGAACAGTCCCAGCTCTCAGCCTTTCCACATAGGGGAGATGCTCCAGTCCCTTCAGCATCTTTGTAGCCCTTTGCTAGACTCTCCAGCATGTCCATGTCTCTCGTACTGGGGAGCCCAAGACCACAGACAGTACACCAGGTGTGGCTTCATCAGTGCTGAGTAAAGGGGAAGGATCGCCATCGCCTCTGTCAACCTGCAGGCAACTTTTGCAAAAAGGGCACATTGCTGGCTCATCTTCAACTTGTGTCCACCAAGACTTCCAAGTTCCTTCTCTGCTCAGCTGCTTTCCAGCTGGGTGGTCCTCAGCACGTACTGGTGCCTGGGATTTTTCCTCCTGAGGTGCAGGACTTTGCACTTGCCCTTGTTGAACTTCATGAGGTTCCCATCCAGCTTTCTCCAGCCTGTCCAGGTCTCTCTGGACAGCAGCACAACCCTCTTCTTTTATCAATCTGTTCTCCCAGTTATTCACCATCTGCAAACTTGCAGAGGGTACACTCTGTCCCATCATCGACATCGTTACTGGCCATGTTTAACAGGACTGGAGCCAGTATTGACCCCTGGGATACGCTGCTAGTCACTGGCCCACAACTAGACTTTGTGCCACTCGTCACCACTCTCTGGGCCTGGCCATTCACACAGTTTTCAATCCACCTCACTGCTCATCCATATCGTACATGAATAGCTTCTCTGGGAGGATTTTATGGGAGACACTGTCAAAGGCCTTACTGAAGTCCAGATAGATAACATCCACTGCTTTCCCCCCGTCTACCAGGACAGTCAGTTCATCACAGAAGTTTATCAAGTTGGTGAACCATAGATTCTCCTTGGTGAAGCCATGCTGACTGCTAATGATGATTTTCTTGTTGATGTG